AGATTGCATCTGTGAATCAGGCACTTGCACACTTGCTTCTCTTTGTCCTGTAATCTTTCTGCTTATCTAGAGCTGGCTGCAGATTTTCTCCTTAATGGGTGGGCTAGCTAGTCAAATTCCTGTTTTGTCTATTAGTGTGAAAGCCGTTTAGCAAAACTTAAATAGGGTTAGCAAATTGCCTTTTCGTGTGTACATGTGGCATCTTTAAAAATAAGAAACAATTGATAATATCTTACAGGATGGTAAGTTTTGCTAAAATATATGTGGTGTATTTCATTTGGATATGATGGCTTCAAAATGAGACAGAAATATTCCTGCTCTAGCATGTGGCCCAACTCTTTTCATTTTCCACTGTCACAGTGGCTTACAAAAAGGAAAAGACCTTGACAGTATATTATTCTCACTGAATTTGCATGTAAGTTTTCATCAGAAAGTGTAGTTGGTTACAGAGCTTGGCTGTGAAAAACAAATGTTTCATTATATTTCCCTGTGCATTTAATGTTAGGAGAGGGGAAGTCCATGTTGGTCTGAGAGTCTATTTCTGGGATGGCTGATTTGGTGCATTAGAATAATCAGATTGACTGCTCTCTCTAAACAGTCGGGCAGGTCATCATTAATTCCATTCAGAAAAACACGATGTTGTTTACGGAGCTAATGGCAGCTTTACAAACCCGTTGACAATCTTGATTATGCATTTGAGCTTTTTCCTTCAATTAATGTTTAGTCCCAGTTTGCACTTGCTGACACAACCAGCATCTCTATTTGAGGTGCATGCTGTTACTAAAAATATTTAAGAAGAAAGATGTAAAAGGTAAACTGGGCATTAATTTGTTTCTGTAATCTCTTTTGCAGGCAACATGAAGAAACAAGCGACAAAGAAAAAATCCCTAGACAAAAAAACCAAACAATACAGGGAATGTCCTCAGCGTTCTGCTCTTGAAGACGTGAAGGAGAGGAAAGTGTTGGACCTCCGGAGATGGTAGTATTTATGAATTGTATTGTAAAGATTATCCCCATACAGTTTGTCGGCAAACACTGTTGCTGGTTATCTGATTTCAAATTTCTTAATATGTCTTCATACTTTTCTTTTTATTAGAAATGGGGATATGTTAAATACATAAAATGAATCTTATAATTTCTACAAGAAGAATGAGAGCTTCCCTCCCATCTGTTGAAATTCTAAAAACGTTTTTCTTTCTGAACATTTTTTTCTTTCAATAAGGAAAAAATTTGTGTGGGGATTCATTGCTAAAAAAAAATGCAGGTTCCTTAGCATGGTCAGGCAAAAAGTAACCTTAAACATAGTACTGATATGTCTTACTGCTGATTTTTCTTTTGGCTGGGAAACACTTGATCAGAACCTGTCAGTTCTATACAACCTATATCATATGAATATAGTTCACTAAATTCACTTGGTTTAATGAATCCGTCTGGTTCTTACTGTATATCTGTGACATCAGAAAGTTAGAGTTAGCCTAGGGAATCTGCGACCCCGGAATGACATTCATTAGTAAATTGGTAGAGATGCAGCTTGATACAAGTTCACGTGTTAGAAGAGACTGGATCAAACTGTACATTACATTAGTACAGAACCATTTTGTCCTACAGGATCATTTGTACAGAACTCCCGTGGGGCTGTTAGAAATTTGACTTATTTATATAAAATAGGATAGTAGTATCTGACAAACTTAAAGAAATTGGTTAACGTATTTGCTCAATTTTTTTTTTTAAAGCATGAACTGCCTTTTTTGTTTTGTTTTGGTTTTTTTAATACAGGCAAGAGTAAAAGCATTTAATATAACATGGCACTTCAGTGGCATGGCACACAGAAAAGTAGTTGAGGTTGCTCCTGTAACTAAATCAAGAATGCTTACTAATGTGTTTGGGCTTTTGTTTGTTTTAGGTATTGTGTTAGCCGACCTCAATACAAGACTTCCTGTGGAATTTCATCCTTAGTGTCTTGCTGGAATTTCTTATATAGTACACTGGGAGCTGGAAGGTAAGTCACAAATAGGCCGCTTTGCCTCTAGAGAGTCTAAAATATATTGCTAATTACTTTATTAAACAATACTTTTTTTTTCCCCAGTTTACCACCTATTACTCAAGAAGAAGCTTTGCATATACTGGGCTTTCAGCCCCCATTTGAGGAGATTAGGTTTGGCCCCTTCACTGGAAATACAACTTTAATGAGGTATGTCTGGTTCTTTTGATGCAGCTAAATTTTTAATGTATGCAAAATTAACACAAAACTAAGAGATAGAACCTTTAAAAATACAGTAGTAGTTCATTTATTTAAAAAAAAAAGTGGCTGACACAGTCCTCTTAAGTTTTAGAATAATGAAGCATGCCTGGGTACTCTGACAGTGCCCATTTTGTATAGTGCGATGTTGCTACACAGGTCAGGTGAACATGAAATTCTATTTGATTTTTGATTCAGTTTGTTTAATGGTTGTGTAATACCCTAATGAATCCAGTCTCCTGGATTCCAGTTAGGAAATTTTTTCTTCACCCTCATTTTCCTGTTTTTGAAAATGCATGTTAAATCCTTGTTAATGGCACTGAAACAGCCTGATAAGGCAATTGATATACTAGTAGCTTTATGTAAAAATTAATTTAAGAATTGAAAATGAGCTAGTGAGTGCTGCACCTTTGCAGCAATGGAGCTGTTCAGGAGGAGGAGGGGAAGAAAAAAAGAAAAGGTGGGGCTGGAGTCACAGAAGGCTTGGACTTTCAAATACTGTTTCACTTCTGCTCTGCTGTTTCCTGATCTTGATGAGTTGGGTCTAAAAATTTTGTTTATTTTTGTTTTATTAAACTCATAAGGAATTTTAGGATTAAACAGGGCCAGAAGCATATTGTACTTGAGTGTTGAACATCTTGACAGGGCTTTGGTGTGTTACCCTTCTGAGAGATTTAAAAGTTTTGCAGTGTTCTTGCCTGTTTCATGAGTTGCATTTGATCTAGTTAGTATTTTTTGAAGGAGATGTATGTATATGTATGTGTGTATGTATATATATGTTGCACAGAATGTGGGTGCTGGATTTGAAAATGTGGCAGCAGTCTGTTCTTTAATGGTAGCATACTAGATCATTGAAGAGTGTCATGAAAACTTCCGTCTCTGCCTTAGGAGACTTGGATCCAGATTTTGTATCTCTTTAGGAGTATGTCAGGATATAGCAACCCTTACAGACCAAGCTGATAAAATGTTCTGTCTCTTTATGTCAACAGTCAATATAGCCAAAAGTTAAACTTGGAACTCTTCTTCCTTCTCCCCTGCGAGTGCCCTAAGTGCTGCAGAAAAGTTACCTTTATTAGGTTTTTTGTATGCCTGGTCAAGTAATTTTTATGTACCTGGCGGACTAGAAAACAGGAGGGCTGTGAGGCAAACCCACCACCCAACGTGGCTATATGATTGAGGTATTATCTTCAGAGAGATGAATTTGAATCTTCTAATGCGGAAAAGTAAATATCTGAGACAAAATCTTGGCAGACCTGTCCTCACTTACTGCTGCTGTGAGGAGTTGCAGTATGGGACTCCTGTGACACTTGGGCGTTGTGAAGCTTATGTGATAGAAGCCCAACGTGATATGCAAAAGTCTCACTTGGAGGGTCCTTGCCTTCTGATGTCTTAGAAGATTCCCTTTGTGCAGCTTACAAATCATGGTTGAAACTTGGCATTTCAGAATTTGAGTGTCTTTCTAAAAGCTGAGTAACTGAAAGTTAGAGATGACTGGACTGAACACAACAGGACCGATGTTTCAAATCCAGACCTTGGGTTATTATGGATCTATGTTGGGTCTGAAAAAGCAAGATGGAGAAAAAGGCTTTGAGTATTTATTTCTCTTTCTAGGATATGTTAAGTTTTGTTTGTATTAGGCTACTATGGTCATGTACAATCTATATACTAATGTGGTAGGTACTTAGTAGCATGCTGAGACTTTTTTCCTAAACTGTCAAGCAGAGGAAAAGTGAGAGGAAGGACAATTGCATTTAATAACTCTTGAGTTACTACAATCTTTAAGCTTATTGTTTCAGATGGTTTAGGCAAATAAATGATCACTTCCATATCAAGGGATGCTCATACGTTCTGTATAAACCTCATGGGAAGAACAAGACAGCTGGAGAAACTGGTACGTAGCTAATCCTAAAGCATTCATCTTACAGTATATAAACTGAAAAATCCTGCAATATGTAGCATTTGGCAGGACAAATTCTGTAAGTAGTACTTCCAGTTTGAGATAAGGTATCAAATAGCTCCAAGTTGCCTGATTTTTCTGGTTTTACTTTTTCTCTTTCTTTGCTAAAACTTTCATTTTTACTTTTATTTATATAAAATATATTCTGTGCTATATATTCTGCTATCACAGAACTGGAATTTTAAGGTATCCAGGGGGACACTGCACTTCCAGTTCTGTGTTGGTGTCCTGGAAGATGTGTTTGCTCTAATAGCCTGGGGGAGCAGCACGTTTTTATTTCAGCGTTTCAGAAATCTGTGTTGTATAAAAACTTAGAATGTACAGCACAAAAGTATTAATGTCTTTAATAAAGGTTTTGTACTTTTAAAAATGCAATTTTAAAGTTAGTGAACTCATCCGTTCTGCCTGACTTTAGCTAACATCTGTCTCCAAAAGTTAGGTGATTATTCTCAATTAGCTTACGAAGCTGCATTTTTATGTTTACTTTTAAGTGTGTTACCTAAAGAAAAAATACACTTTCATATACAGTTTATTAGCCTTTGGTATAGTCTGGGTAATTATCTTCTAAATGGAAGGTTCTTCAAAAGGATAAAATCATGCTGAAAAATTTTGGGGGAGATTATTAAAGTGGGAATCCCCTTTTTGTTCATGGTATCCCATTTGAGAATTCTTTCATGTTTCAGTGCCTTTTCCAGTCTTTTCCTGAAACTGAGCACTGCAGTCACATTACAAAATATTGCATGCCCAAGCGTGGGAGCTGTTCCTGAGACTAGGAAGCTCCAAGAAGCTCATGATACCAAAACGTTTGAAAGCTTTCAGGGGTTTCAGCAGTATCATTGATAAATGCTACATCTGACTTGGGGCAGTGGGACTGCATTGTGTTGCAGTGTGTATTTCCTAGGTTAAGAGACACTTTTGGTTCTTTTTTTTGCAGAACACGTAGTTTTTAATATGACTTTGATCTAAATACAATGCATACTTTATATTGCATTTCCCTTGTACAGACTGTGTGGCAGATGTTATTTTTTTGTACCAGGCAGGAAATTAAATACTAAGAAGTTTGAAATCAAAACTGTATTTTGTGCATGCCTGTCAGGTCATGTCCTCTAACTTGAAAAACAGTGTAACTATTTTATGTTATCAAATAGGTCTTTCTTGCTGGATACTTTATGCAGGATCCAAAGCACTCTGGGCTGTAACCTGGTCTTTCTTTGTAGCTGCAGGGGCTCTTGCAAAGCTAACACGTGGACTCAAAGATGAATCAATGGCCTACATCTACCATTGCCAAAACCATTATTTTTGCCCAATCGGATTTGAAGCAACCCCAGTAAAAGCTAGTAAAGCATATAGGTAAGATATTGTGTTTATGCTTATTTTAGTGGAGAAAACGTACAGAAAAATTTACTGCAAGTTGATACTATTTTTTCTCCCTAAATAACATGAGCATAAGAAGACAATCCCTGACAAAACTAGCAGATACCGATAGTGGGGAGTGAAAAGAGTAGGTCATTGGTGTAAGCTGAGCCTCAACCTTGCACTTTGCTTACCAAGCAGTTTACCTTTGGCTGTGTTGAAGATGTAGAGTCACATCAAGGAATGGAGAATGCTAGCTCTGCTTTTAGAGTTCAAAATGGTAATTGTGTGGAGGTAATAAAGCGTAATCATCTGAATCTAATTTGTTCCCAGTGTGAGACTGTGACCATTAATGAAAGCTTTTAGTATATGAACAAAAGAATACAGAAGTTTTTTGTTAAGACTGCATTCACTGGCATGCCATGTGAGTGAGAAGAGTTTGGAAAATATGCCGCGAACAGAAGTCCAACACATCGGTCTGCTTAAATTTACCAAAAGGTTAATGGCTTGCTTACTTGATCAGTTACTGGAAGAGTGAAGTTAAAAAAAAATTGTTTCCTAGATCAAAAATGCAGTTTGAGAAATAATATGGTCCAGTGTGTGGAAACTTAACATGCCTTTGAATTTATATTGTTTACTAATGACTGAGAGCAAAAATTTCAATACTTTACCCATGGTTGAAATGGATTCTCAGTCCCTACTGATGTTATTTTTAAGTCAATATTAGGTTTTCTTCCTAGAAACACATCTCTTCTAACAATGTAACATGAAGTAATGTGTTCAAGGAGCTTTTACAGCCCTATTTTAGGCGGGAGGTCAGACCAGAAGAGCATCCTGTTCTCTTCATATCTTCTAGTATCTGACTGGGAAAAATTGTGTTTGGATTCCAGAAGCACTATAAATTGATTCTGCAGCAGTTCTTGTTTACCTGTTTTTACATTCTAGTTACAAAGGAAAGCTTTTCTTTAAAAATCAAGCTAAGAAATGTTTAAGTTCCAAAAGAAATGGGCAGATAGGTTGCTAGGCTGAGCTTAGGAGACAGTTCTTAGGTCACCCACAGACTTCCTGTATGATCTTAGGTTGCTGGATTTGGACTCGGGAGACCTGGGTTCAGTTCCCAGTTCAACCACAGACTTCCAGTGTGACTTTAGGTAAGTCAATTAATCTATCCTGTGTCTTGGTTTCCCATCTGTACAATGATGGCACACATTGTTATTTTACAGGGAATTGTAAATAAACAAATTATTGCAAGCAGTAAGGCCATATGCTGTCTACTTCCCTAGGCGGAAAATTCTCAGTTTTTGTTACAGTTGAAACTGGAGTAGTTTTTCATGGGATAATTATACACAGGAAGTCACAGAACAAGCCTCTGTATCTCAGCAGTCTGCTCTGATGTCTGTCACAAATTTTCCCTGACAAAGGTACTGCAGGCTTTGAGTTTCTTGGAAGTTGCTCACAAACTTGAATGAGTATTGGTTGAGGGTTTTGTTTTTTAATGTGTGGTATTGGATGCTTAGGAGGAAGGGATTGAAGTTACCAGTTGTTTTCATACAGGTTACCCTACAGCTGTTAGTAACAATTGTCAGCTGGGGTGTAGTTTAAAAATAGTGGAAGGGGGCTCTTTCGTGACTCTGTTGGACATCACAGGTAGGAGGAGGACGTTTGTTCCACCTTTGTGTGGCTTTCCACAGCTCTTATTTCCATTGTTACTTATATATTTATATTTGGATCTTACACTAGACTGCCTTTCATCTGAGTAACACTATTTTTTAGGAAGATCTGTCTTTTTCCCAAATAACAAGCAATAGTTTCTATCTTGCTTCCAGGCCTTGTGAAACAAAGAGTTTCCCTGTATGAAATTGCAAACGCTATAGCGCAGGAGCAAGTTTTCAGTTTGGCTGAGGAAACAATTTTAAATGTTAGCAAATCCTAAAAAGAACAATAGAATGTTAATCTCTCTTCTTCTTTTTAGTATGCACAATAAATCTTATTAGCATTGTATCTTCTATTGAACAGAGGTCGTGTCTTGCAGCAAGAAGTAGAATACTGGATCTTAATTGGAGAGCCGAGCAGAAAACATCCAACAATACACTGTAAAAGGTACGTTACTTGGTAAGAATTTAAAACAATATATTTCCTTTCAAAACAAATTGTATTTCTCTACAAAGGGTCACCAAGCGACTTTATAGTTTTTTTGTATGAATATACTATACTTCTAACAGAAACAGGTGCTGTAGTGAGAAACTTCATGTTTTGACCTCAAGGCTGGCTCTGCAGTTTTGTATCACGTGGCAGAACACGTGTGGGCTGCTGAAAGCCAAAGCCTGTTTCTCTTGTTTGAGTGTGACACAGCTCTCATTAGTCAGGAAGAAAAGACACCTCCGCTGTCTGCGATCGTGCCAATTGCGACTTACAGGCTGTACGAACCTTGGAGGAGTTTATGCTGCAGTTGAGGACGTACACAGGCTGTGTCTGGGGTGTGCACAGGATATTATGCTGCTGCCAAGATCTCCTAGCTCAGGCGCAGGTACAGCCTGTACTCTGTTGCATTATTAGCTCATCTATGCATTAAAACAATACATTTATGATGGGGTCTGGCTCACACGAAGTTGGTGTCTGAACTAGATGTACATTCTAGGAGAGCTAGAGGGTGCCATGTAGAAATTCCACTGATTAGTTATATTTGTCATGATAAAATTAATAGAACAGCTTTCTCAGCTTTACTCTCAGCCAGTTCATAATGCCTAACACTAATTTCTGAAATGAGGGAACAGTGCAAAAGAACAGTATTTCTCAAGAAACCAATTCCGTGGTCAAAACTTAAGTTTTAGCAAATAGCTTCTCTGCCACCCCCTGAGTTAATTATGGAGTGATTTTTCTTGATACATTAGGAAAAGAGCTGTGGAAAAAAAAAATAAAGATCACACAACTACTTCTTTGTTTCCTCTTTTTTATTCTCGAATTATTTTGAAAAATTGTTTGAAAGAGCTTATCTGACGGTTTCATAGCCAGTCAGCTCTATCCCAGTACCTAAAACCCAGATATCTTTTTTTGTTTTTTTTTTGCTTTGTCAGTGATATGACTATGTCAATAACTGTAAATAGCTGGGTATTTTGGACTAATGAGATTAAGCGCAACAAAATAAAAATCACATTACACATGTGGCTGCTGTGCTGAGAAATGGTGTACTATCCATCCCACTGACAGAATTTTGTCCTGTGGTATATGAGCTACAAATGGCACAGGAAAAGGTTTCTGAATATAGAATACAAACCTTTGTAATATTTTTTTTGGTTGTGGAGACATTCTTCCTCCTGCCACAGTCCCAATGAGAGCTAGCACAAAGTTCTGTGCTTAAGGTAGGAGGGCAAAGGTTGGGGTAGAAATGGATTTTCTGAACTGGGAGGATGATCTTAGAGAGAAGCAGGTAATTAGACATTGACAGAACTGAAAAGGCGATGTGTAGGCTTAAAGAGGTCTGGAATATGGGAGTATTTGTTTCAGTTGGGCTAGGAGGAGCTATGAAACTCTGAAGAGGTGAGTGAATGAGGAATGATTGAATTGATAGTTTATTACAGATGGGAATTAAATAAAAGGGAGGAGTGAGTTATGGTGAGAGCTGTCTGGTAAAAACAGATTTAGTGGGCGAAAAAAACAAACTGGGATTTGAACAAAATAATATAAAAGGGTAAGAGAGGATTATATAAAGTAAAACCTAGTGTTTCTCCTTGCCTAAACCACACTTTGCATTTTCCTTTGACAAACTGATGAATTGGTAAGGGTAAGCAACGCAACTAATGACTCATGGTGCTCTTAGTCATTTTGGAAGGTGTTTCCCAAGAGCAGGTATAATCACTGAATGCTTTGATTAAAAGTGACGCTTTTATATCTAGCTTGATGCCTCCAATACTGAGGCTTTTATAGCTTTACACGTTCGTTTATCTTTAAATCACTGATAAGACTAAAGCTGCAGATCTGTATTTGCATGTGTGCGTACATGAGTCTTAGTGGTGCTGAATGTCAGCTGAGTAGTAATAATCTTATTCTGTAGGTGGGCAGATATTGTCACTGACCTAAACACCCAAAATCCAGAATATCTAGATATTCGACACCTGGAGAGAGGATTGCAGCATCGAAAAACAAAGAAGGTAAGGTAAACTTATTAAGATGGGAGGAAATTCATGGTACATTTTTGGCAAACTTATTTATACTTCAGCAGTAAGATAACTTCACTAGAAGAAATTTGCTATGAAGTGTTGCTGAAGACAAAAGTCAAATGTGGGTACTGACATACCAGAGTCATTTATATTTACTTGCAGGACAAGATACAATACAGCAGTAGCCTGGCATATGCTAGGATGAACCAGGATATCTGCATATACAATATATTTGGTCACAATATTTAACGTTGCTGGCTTAGAATGTAGCTGCAGCAAGTATAGAAATACTCTACAGACAAATGACAGATCCTTTTGGTGCATGGCCTTCTAGCCACATGTAAGGAGGAAAGAAAGTACAGCAGAGTAAGATCAAACATAAAAAAATGCATGTGTGTCTGTTGTGTGGACTTACTGCCAATACATACAGCTTTCTTTCCTATAGATAGGGCTATATCTCGTGGGTGGGGGTTGTGTTTTTGATTTGCAGATTGAAAGTCTATGAGAAATAATAGGCTGAAGAGATGATTTAAAATGTGGAGATCCTATGGAAGACTGTGTCAGTAAGATGAGAAGGGACCAGAAGAGCTAATTTGTGTGAAAGTGGCCGGACAGTAAAAAGACTAGCAGAAGATAAGTTATACTTGCCCATGAAAGTTAAAAAGGGTAACTTAAAAAGATGAGAAAGAAGGCAGTAATTGAATCTGGGAAACAATCAAAATTGATTGAGCCGAGTTGGTTGTTTGAGGATACGGTTTTGTGGGGGTTTTTTGTTTGTTTGTGTGTTGTTGCATATTTTTTTTTGTTTTCTTTTTTAAAGAGGTCTGTTGCCCGCCAAGATGTTAATTTCAAATATCTATCTATGTTACAAATGCGTGCATTTAACAAAGAACCTTTTTACTTTGATTAGGTTGGAGGAAATCTTCATTGCATCATTGCCTTTCAGAGACTTAACTGGCAAAGATTTGGTCCTTGGAATTTTCCATTTGGAAACGTTAGACAAGATAAACAATCCCATCCACAAGGACAAGGAATTTCCAAATCTGAGAGTGAAGACAATATCTCTAAGAAACCACATGGACGACTGGGTCGATCTTTCAGTGCTGGCTTTCATCAAGAATCTACGTGGAAGAAATCTAATCTTCGTGAGAGGAGGAACAGTGGGTATCACAGTTATAATGATTATGATGGAAATGATTAAAATTAACTTTAGATAATAGAGTTGATATATTAAAGTTAGTTTTAATCAAGATATATTAGGGATCTTTAGTCTTAGAATACATATGAATAGAAATTATGGTATAAGATACAGCTTCATAATTATTAAATAAATCTCATGATATGGCTGCAATGGATGAGATCTGATGTATAAACTGACAGATAAGCACAAATTATTGTACTCTGCAATCAAAAGTAAATATGACAGCAAAATCAATCATTTCTTTTGAAATAATTGTACTATGTCCGGATCTGTGAAAACAAAAGGGCAGATTGAAATTAGTCAATGTAATAAACTGACTTCATTGGAAATACTTAGTATGCAAAAGCATGAAAATTTATTATGTGACTTTATAAAAAGGGTTATTCTGAAAGTAAACATTGCCTTCCTTTTTAACACTCTATTTTATTAAGGCTGCCCATATCCAGTGAAAACAAAAAAAATCACATAGGTTAGAAAACCCTGTCAGATTTACGAAGTGAATGTACGTTCTCCATTTAGTTCCCAGTAGACTTCTGTCAGTCAGATAATCATATTTTGTCAAGTAGGTCTCAGTTACTTTTCCCTTAGCTGGATGCCTGTTTTAGACTGAGAGGAATCGCCTGTGGCAGGGAAGGTTCGAGGATGGACCTTCTTTATTGCTTTTGCTCTGTGGGTACAGCGGCTGAATTCTTATCCTGGAGCCTCTTGAGAGCACGGACTCACTTAACACAAGCTTGTGAAATTCAGTATTAAAAAGCTGTGTTTACCGTTATCCAAATGAGCCAGTTGAACACTGCGTTCTGTTGGCAGTTCTTTTCCTCGTTCAGTCTTAAAACCTCTGTCATTTTTCTGCTGCTCTTCTGATTTTGTGTGAAAGTGATGCAAGTGCCGAAAACTGCTGGCAGCCCTGATGATACTATATACCTCTCAGCCAGCAAACAATTCAAGCTTTTTCAGGTGTCCATGTGCAGTCTCTATTTTCAATTATTTTTTTCTAATTTGAAATGTATCCAGTTGTTTGCTCAAACACATCTCAACAGTTGTAACTTCTGCGTACAAATGTTCATACCTGCTCAAGGATTAATTTTTTGACATAAAAAGATTTCTCATGGAATGCAGGGGTTTTGTAGGTTGCTGCTTTTGTTAACCAAAAATGGGAGACTTTTAGACTTTTGTTCATTCAATAAAATTTGTTTTCTATTTTGTTGTTTGCTTTTCATTTGTCTTGGGAATGGTGACCCTACGTTTAATGAAGATTTTCAGGAAAGCAGGTAAACGAAGGGTCAGAATTGCAACCCCTGCTTAGCAAAGTAATCCTGGAGGTAGGATCTCGTTGCTCATAAGGCTGTGCAGCCTCTGTGACTTAACCTCTGATATTTAACTTCCCAAGATCTGCAGGCTCGTGACTGAACAAAACCCATAGGTTTTGAAAATGTAGATATTTTCCAGATGAACTATTTTCAGGCTTTATTTTTGTAAGCTGGATTTGGGCTGAGGACTCAAATCTCTTTAGAATACTTGAGCTGTGTTCTTTAGGGCACTTCAGGGTTAAATGAGTTATATAAATGTCTCTGAGTTTTGCCTAATAATGATAGTTGCACTGAGGAACAGGGAGTTGCCTCTCTGATATGAGCTTGCTGCTATTCTTAAATGGGTGTGTTTGATGGACTTTATTTTTACAGTCACTTTGTTTTGCTCTTGTTTGGAGACTGTCACGCTTCTTCATAAAATAGGTGGCGTCTTTAATTCTTCCAGCATTAGCAAAAGACGGAAGATGCGTGTCCCTGGAGATGTGCTGCTGGGACCTAGGAAAGGCTGCCTGCAACCTTTCCTAGGGATTCTGTGGTGGGAGAAGCGGGGTGCGGTGAGGGGCACTGGGGATGTGGTGGGAGCGGAGCGGGGAGAGCGTGGGTTGCGGGGGAATTCATGCTACCTGTCCCGTTTGGCATGCTTCTGAGAAGTCGGGGAGATGCCTAGGCGGCTAAGTGCTGCCAAAAAAAGAAAGAAAAAAAAAAATGTGGCTTTTTTTCTTTTTGCGTTGCGTTCGGTACCTCACCTCCGGGCAGGCGAGGAGCCGGCGGGCAGGGTGCCTCAGGCGACAGCGCGCCGCTGCGGTCCCTCCGCCTGGG